CTAACTGTTGCCAAAAAGAAATTAAAAGATTCGATTCAAATTTATTGTTTATGGTATGTAAATTTACACATTAGAAGCAACATGCATTTTCACTTGCATTACATATTATTTTATTTACATTATATGGCAACATAAACTTGCGGATTCCTCTTTACTGTCAAATTTTAGAATTACTTTCAGTATAATGTCTCAAATTATTCAGCAGCAGCAATACAGTCAGTCGTAATAGTTTCCTCGTATAATGTAAAAACAAATTATGTAAATAAATCTTTGATGAGGATTTCACTGAAATATAAATTATCCATACAGAAAAAAAAAAAAAAAACAGTTCTCCAAAGGATGCAAAGCGATTATACTACACCAAGGTACGTAATATACGAAATTAGAAGTAACTGACTGTTCAAAGTTACCGTTTATGTATTCTGAATTAGTACATCAATAAAAAATATTGTGAATTATTTCAGTTCGACGCATTACGAATTGCTTCAATTAAGTACGTTGCAAATTACATTGATTAGCAATTTTATAAAAAAAAAAAAAAAAAAAAAAAAAAAAAAAAAGTTAGTTAAAGATATAAATTATTAAGACACGCGCTTATTTTATTTAAAATTTTTAGTCTGTTAAACATTGTATTATTTTCATTTAAAGGCTAAACTATAGATATTATGCCTCGTGGAATGGCAACAACTTTGAGAACTGGTACTTTCTGTAGCACAGGGTCAGAATTGGCTCCTGACCCTGTGCAACAGAAGTTTCGGGGCCAGATGGCAAATTTTGGAGCGCCAAAATTTTAAGAACTTGGGAAGCATTGCGCGGCAAAATTCTATCGCCAGTCCCTGCTTGGATGAAAAATTAAAGATGTATGCTTAATAGAATGGTAAAGTATAGTCTACACGTAAATGTATAGCTTTCGTGAGGCTCCGCTCTAGCCAGCTTTAGATAAGGGTGGACGTGGTGCTGTACTGATTAATCTTTACGGCAAAGGGACAGTGCCCACGTCCACCGTCACTTATCACTTAATAGAATGGTAGCTCCTTGCCAAATGGCCGTACTACGGGGATAATAATGCCTTGCATCGTAACAAAACATGACGTAATATAATCCAAGAAATTATTTCTTTTCTTCGTTGCCAAATAAAAGATCCGAAGTTGAAATTCCAGTAAGGGCGTAGTTGATTTCGTACTTACATATTATCCCATCGACCGGCCAAGTAGCACGATTCAGAGCCAATTATGGATGGCCGAGTCCTTTGTTTACAATTGGGTGCCCCTTGTTTTTTTGGCGATTCTTTTCTGACGCCAAGATCGGCGCCTGGAAGGCATAGTTTCAAAATAGCCGCTACACAAAACCAAAATTATAAGTCAAAGAATTGGGCAAACTTGGTGTCCATCTACACATCGACCTATTTTCACTTAAAAAACATCACAGAATTGGACAAACAAGGCATTGCGCACTGCCTTAACTTTATCCATGTACACATCGATCTATTTTCACTCAAAAAAAAAAAAATCAGTAAGCTAAAGCAAAGTTAAAATTATCATGGTAATCAGGAATGGGGTTTCATCGACAAATTGAAAAGAATTCGTCGCTAATCGAAGTGGCACCCAATTCTACACTAGAGCCGAGTTTCGAAGTAACGACTGGCGATTGGCGACCAATGCCGGAATTTCCCTAACAGGATTCTTCTAGGGATAATAATTATCCCTTCGACTTATTATTATCCCTTCGACTTCGATTAAATATGTAAGTACCGTTGGTTGTTCACTTTTTCTAGCTTCGAAAAGATGAAAAAGAAAAGTCCTTTCTACGTAGCATAAAAAAAAAAAAAAAAAAAAAAAAAAATCTGTTGTGGAACCACAGGATTTCCTTGTGCGGCCTGTTAACTTATACACATTTTTTGCTGCATTTCACACAAACTTCACTCAAAAAGCCTCCATTCAAAAAATTACTTTGCATTTAAGCTAAGTTAAATTACTACGGAACCGGTGGGCGGTAAGGAAATTTTATTACCTACAAAGTGGGCGGTTGATATAAAAAGGTTGGCTACCCTTGGTCTGTACGATAATGAATACAGACTCGGTCGGCAGATATTGCTTTCAGTTTTACATTATGTATAAACACTATTTACAGATTTCTATTTTCACATTTACCGTATTTTCTATTTATTCCTGTACACTAGTGTATTAATTACAGATAATCGAGGTTTATGTTTAAATCAGAGTTCAATATAAATTTTCCTTATATTATTGCACTCAATTTGGCATGCGGTGCGGAGTATGTTTAGCTCTGTGCTAGGAGTTCGTAGGGCATAGGTTACAGAAGCGTTTGCACACAAGGTTGTTCACGGTTGCTTAGTTCACATAGATAAACAATGTGCACATGTGTATAGTTTGCCCATATAATTCGCCGTTTGCGCGGGTTGTTCACAATTTTCACATAGTTTACAGTTGCTTGAGGTCTCTGTTTGCGAACGTGCTCGCACTTCACAGATCGTTGCGAGAATTTTGACGGAGGGAACGGGAGGGTGCAGCTGGCTGCGATTGTACTGATGCACCTGGCGGTGATTATAGTACAGAAGGATGCATATTTATGCACTCTGCAGTTTCGTAGTTGGCGCATTTGCACAGTTCGTGGTTTTGGCTAACACACATCGTAGTTTGCACAGTTCACATTGTTAAATACAGGATGTTTTCCTTTAAACTGACGGTACTCAAAGACCTCTGTAGCTTGAACTTTCAGCCGCAAAGCCACGAAATTCTGTAAAAAAAGGACTATTGACGACATGGGAAAAGGAATCCGTGTAAAAAAATTGGTTTCAAAAGTTGCCGATGGGGGAAACATGGCGCTTTTGATCTAAAATTTAAGTTTAACTGCACGATAAAATTTCTGAGCACTTTAAAAAGTTACAGTAAACAGTTAAATGAATAACAAAGAATTAATTTTTCCATAAATGTGCTTTATTCTAAAAAATAACTTCTGTAAATGGCAACAAATTTAAAAAAAAAAGAAAGAGAACATTCTATTCGACTTCCTTTTTATTCTTTATTCTTTTTTTTTATTCAGTAGAATGGCTTTCCCGGAGAAGATATCGGCTATTTTCAATATGACCTCCATTTTCTTTCATTTTTCCATTCTCCATTTCCCGCTTCTTTTTTATAATTCAAAGTACTGGCGCTGGTGTCGACTGCGTAATCGGGATTTGCAATTTTTTCCCATGTTTTATGCAAAATTTTAGCTGTCTTAAAGTGTAAAGCGCCACATTTTTCCCTATCGGCAACTTTTAGAAATAATTTTTTTTCACGGATTTCATTTTTCCATTTCGTTAATAGTCCCTGTACAAAATTTCCTGGCTTTGCGACTGATAGTTCAAGCTACAGAGGTCTCTGAGTATCGTCACTTTAAAAAGAAACACCCTGTAGCTTATATAGTTTGTAGTAGTTGTGGCAGTGGAATGCAGGGACTTCTGAAAATTGTATAGAGTTTCATGGAACTTAAAATGTTAGCTGTAGTTGCTCTTTGCTTGCACATGTAGATCATGAGGTGGATAGATACTGAGAAGCTAGCGAAGGTTTAGGATGGCTGGCACATATCTTGGCTCATGGAAGTAATGCGTCAATGATTTTACAAATTTATATTATTGTTGGCTTGGTGCTAATAACGTAGCGCTGGAAGGCCTCAGTTATTGTTGTGGGATGCGTAATGTGTGTTAAGGTTGTCAATGGGCAATGGAAGATGTAGTGATCGGGTGCTCCTTCTCGGCCGCAGATGCAGGTGTCCGTGTTGAAGATGTGATGTCTGAAGTAATATGAAGAAGGCCGTGTTCAGTCATACGTCTTGTGAATTGTGGGTTGCAATAAGGCAGGCCGTTGACACTTTTGGAAGGAAGATGTATGTACGGCTACCTATTTCACTTGTGTTCCTTTCATGTTGACACTCTCTGAGGACTGCTTGATAATGCTTTTAGATGAGACGGCGGGGACCAGGACGTCTCTGGACAGACATAGCAAAACAAAATGGCGACAAAGCCTTGGGTTCGTCCCATGACCACACTATCTTATCATATCGTGTCAAGCAGTGCCGCTTTCCTGCGCTGTTGTATTCAGTAGCGTATGAGTAGAGTGTTTACGAATTTCGACAATATTCCTAAAGACGATATTATTATTTTTTGAAATTTTTTGAATAAGTCTCCGCGTGCCACTATTAAAACTCCGCCATATATGTGGCACGCATGCCGCAGGTTGGCCATCTATCGCTTAGCCTAAATTCCTGATCCGAATCATGGCATTTCGAATCCATGAGTATTATGTAGCATTTGATGAATTAGAGTTGTTATGGTTGATAAATCTAGTATGTCCTTTCTAAATATACCTGGTCCACAGTATTTTTATATTTTGAATCTTGTAATTTGTCTCGTTTGTGCGTTTAATTTTAAAAAAATTGGGAGGTAAACAGGGAAAGTATAAAACATATTCTTTTTGAAGGAAAACAAAACTTTCGACATGGAACCAAAACAGGAAATTTTCATAGTCATCTATACAATCTGCTGAAATTTTTAATTTCTTGAGGCTTTTGTACATATTTTGAGTGTATTCTGTGAATTGAGAAATGTGTAGAAGCACGTGTTCCATAGTTTGAGAACCACTGGCATAAATGATTGTTAATAAAATTGTTTAAATTATGTAACAAAGTATGCAACGCTTATAAAATAATTTCTTAGTCTCTACAAAATAAATTTAAGTTCCAGTATCTCATACTTTTTTTAAAACATAAAGAAAATATGTTTTTATCGAAATAGAAAGCAGGAGAAATTTTCATGAAGGTATGCTAATGCATATTATTATTTCTCCAGAAACAAGAATATTTCACGAATTAAAATTTACCATCATTCCACCATAGAAAATCCACATTATGAGTACCACTAATATCTTTTTTTTTTTTTTTTAATTCCCCGCAAATAAAAATATGTTCAAAACCAAAACATTTCTTGGAGCTGTGCGTCAAGCCTCTGAGAACTGCGTCTTTTCTGAATCGGAATTACTAATACTGAAGATTAAGAGTTGCAACACGTTTCGCTGTGGTCTTCGTATTGAATAAAGGTAAACAGTTTTAAATGAGTTTATAATACTTGTGTGTGAAATATTATTATTTCACAAATTTATTTTTTATACCCCAAATCTGGTCGTTAGTGTTATAGTTTTAAAACATATAAAGTCAAACATCTAGTATGTTTACTAAAAGATTGTTCCCTGTTTTTACTGTTTCTTCTGCAGTTTTACTAAAAAGTACTCCAAAGTTAAATGCTCATGTAACTGTCGATTTAATTAAATCTGCTCCCAACTTAGATCTTGTAAGATATGCAGCTAGAAAAGGAACTCGTGCAGCAGCTTTGGCCAAGAAAAAGGTAAGAAAACTTCAGGAGGCAAATAAACCTCCTCCTGTTCCAAAATATCTTCAAAAAAAAGTGAAGGTTTCACGGGAGTTTGAAAGGAAAAGATGCACGGATGAGAACTGGCTTGAAAGTCAGCCTGTTGATAACGTTTGGAATATGAGACTGTATCGTGGTAAACCATACTCTCTTGCCGAGGCTATAAGAATGCATAGAGAAACACATGAACCTGAAATGTTAAACAACCCATCTGCTTTTATTTATGCAAATATTGAATTGGATTTGAAACTAAAAAAGCAGAATCGTTTTATGGATGATTTTAATGGTATTATTACATTTCCGAATGAATTTGAAACACCGAAAAAAAATAGAATCATTGCAATTTGTAAGGAACCTGAAGACCAAGCTAAAGCCTCAGACGCAGGTGCTGTTTATACAGGATCCGGTGCACTGATTAAACAGATTCTTTCTGGTGCTATATCTAAGGAAGATTTTGATTATGTTGTGTGCCATCCAGAAATGTTAAAAGAACTGAATGTTTTGCGAGGTATTTTAGAAAAGAAGTTTCCTAACACCCGAAATGGTCTACTGAGATTGGATGTAGACAAAGCAGTTGCTAATTTCATCAAAGGAATTGAATATGAGTTGAAACGAAGTGTGATTGAGCCTGATTTTGGATGGGTGGATGTATGCTTTGGACAACTGAATATGCCTATTGAGAAGTTGGAGGAAAACTTGAAATTTGCTTTAAGCACTGTTGAGAAACATAAGCCCATGGGAACTGAACATATTCTTTTTATCATTCGAACATTATTATGGTGTGAAAAGTCAAAAGAGAAGTTCAAAATACCCCACTGGGAATATTTGCCGAATTATCCAGTAAATGGTATTTTAAAAGATGATGAAGAAGCTGAAAGTGAAAACATGCAGTCTGCTTGAAAATTTTAAATTCTCATCTAAATTTCCTTTTTGTATAAATATTAAACATGGTTTTGCTTGCAAGTAGAATTTGTTTAGTTTAAACACACTTCTCAGATCTTCAGCAAATATTTTTGTGGTTAGATTCGGAACAGTTAATATTTTGCCATTTTTCCTTCTAGATAAAAAAAAATTTTAGTCATCAAATAATATCTTTTGAATAATAAAGTGTGTTTAGGTTATTTATGTATATTTTGTTTTATTTGTTGTTTTAATAAGTACCTTTAATAGACTATGAATTATTTATTATAAATTCAGTTGTATATAACAATAAAGGTATTTTTTTAATTTATAAAAATATTGCTGTTGAAGCAGTATATACACCTTTATAATACTCAGAATTATATTGGTTTTTTGAGATAAACTCTTTTTGTATTTAATGAATACAGTACTCTTTTTATATTTAGTTTGTAGAGACATTAGGTTATTTCGAAGCAAGAGACATGAAAAAGTAGCAATGTCCTCACTGTGACTCGAACCACGTACCTCTCGAATATACGTCGAGTGTGCTGACCACTCTACCATGAAGGCATGCTTAAAAGGGAGAAATACCTTAATTTTTTTTTTAAATAGTGGTTGGAGAATAATACAGTTTGTATTACAGTTTTGCAAAATTTAAATTTGGGAAGATATTTTAAAAGCTTGTTCTAAATTTTTATTATTTAATGAAAATAAACTTTTCCCTATCAGTGATTCACAGATTTACTGGAATTTGTTAATAATGCTATAACCTGCATAATGTTAACATTACTAGACTGGTATGTAAATTTAAATATCTTATTGAATTAATTTAATGGAAAACAGTCAAATAAAATAGTTTTAGAAGAAATGCATTATATATGCCTTAAAAAAAATGCGAGTAGAAAATAATACATTTTTACTGAAGAGTGAAAATGGATCGAAAGTCAAGCAGCATTGAACCCTATCTTGGGAAGGTAAACTATTTGTGAATGTAGCATGCTGCTACGGAATGTTTTTTTTTCCCTTTAAATCTCCTTCCTTATCCATCTCTAGCCTCTTGGAAGTTTGTATTTAGGTATTTGTAAATCTGCATTAAAGTGTACTTTTTTTTAATGTAAGAATTGATAATTATCTGAAAAAGTATTTTCTGGAAGTGGTTTTCTTATATAGTTTATGTAAGAAAAATTCTTAATTGAGAACCTTTTTAGCCCAAAGGGGCGTTAGACCCAAAGGGCTATTTATTAGTCTGAAAACGGCATTTTGCATCGTTTCCTTTTTTGTGTTGAATCACTTTTCAAACTTTTGCCACTAAATGTTATCGCCATGTATTATATTAAAAAAAAAACTAAATAATGAAGAATCTGTGTTAATGCTTCTCACAGTGTAAAAAAACAACAGTGCCTAGAGCCATCAAATTTAGAATAACATAGTCCTCCAACCAAACATGGACACTTGGAAGCCCGATTAGAATTTGAAATTTGTTTTATTATCTATTTCAAATTTTGTAAAAGTTTAATGAATTTTTGGTTAATCTTTGGATTATGGTAACTTGGCGAAAATTTGGCAACCAGCCCTGCTACAGCAACCTGCTAGTTTTTGTTTGGACGCCATTTTGTATTCACGAAGTAAAGTTTTTCCCAACAATCTGCTAGCCGAATTACGCTTATGCTAGAACTTTTATGGAACAAAAGTGCTTAATCATGACGAAGATTAGGTGCGAAATTGGGAGAAAGTGCAGAATCGCCCACTGCTTACCGCGTTTTTAAGAATTGCACATACACGGTATCATCCATGTACACGTCGACCTATTTTTACTTTAAAAAAATATCTCGAAATTGCACAAAAATGGCATTGCGCACACCCTTGACTTTATCCATGTACACTGCTAAAGTCCTAGCTAGTAACCTTTATTGCCTTACCAAAATGTCGCCAAACTCCCTGTTACCATATTCCAAAGATTAGCCGAATTTTTTATTAACAAACTCAACGATTTCAAAGTGAGCAATAGCAACACTGTACAGAAAAAAACATTTTTATCTCTAGCGTCCGAGACTGTGTATCGGAAATTCTAAAGATATGCTGTTTTTAAATATTTTGTGATCTTGCCGTTGAATTGAATTTCATGTATTTGAAGTGCGAAGAACATGATATTTAATAAATAAAGGTAACATACAAAAAGTTAAAAAAAGCTCCTTTGGGTGTAATATAACATCTGAAAGCTTTCAGATTTCCTTTTTTTTTTTTTTTTCATTTTTTATCTGTAAATCTGTATATTTCTTCCTTTTTCTTTTGTATGCTGCATCTTTCTTTCTTCCATGTGCAATATCAGCAATTATCTTCAATTCTATTAGCATTGGTATGATCCTGGTGTTTTTTACCAAATTCTTTAATATCTCACTGGGAGATACAGTGGATGGACAAAAATATGGAAACACCTTGTGAAATGCATGTTTGAAAAGAAAGATTGATTTTAATGAAATATGTAGGTGGCGCTGGTGTTTTTGACTACTGACACCACCTACACAACTTCGTAAATGTGCTAAACAGTTCAGTTGTTGTCGGAGTACTGTTATGTGAGGTTGTCATTGCATTATGTCAGAGTTAACAGACTTCGAATGTGGGCAATTGTTGGAGCACATATGGTAGGTGCTTCCGTAAGCAAGGTAGCCGAGGTGTTTAGTGTTTCAAGAGGTACTGTATCGAAGATTTATTCCGCATATTTGAAAAGCGGAAAAACATCATCTGCTAAATCACAGCGCGGACAAAAGTGTGCCTGAGTGATCATGACAGACGATCATTAAGGGCAATTGTGACGAAAAATAAGACCACAGCTGCAAAAGTTACTGCTGAAATGAATGTTGTGTTACCGAACCCTGTGAGTACCAAAACAATTAGAAGGGAGCTTCATAAACAGGGAATTGCTGGCCGTGCTGCAATTGAGAAGCCACTCATCAGTGATGCTAATGCCCGTAACAGGAAAAAGGTGGTGTTTAAGTCATAAAGCCTGGACTATAGAGCAGTGGAAGCGAGTAATATGGTCTGACGAGTCTTCTGTCACACTGTTTCCCACTTATGGCCGAGTTTACGTCTGGAGAACGCCATCTCAAGCCTATAATACAGACTGTACTCTTGTTGCCAAGAGTGAAACATGGTGGGAGTTCTGTTATGGTTGGGCAGCCATATCGTGGTTCTCTGATAGCCCCATGATAACTGTGTCAGGGCACATGACTGCCAAGACTTATGTGAACATTTTGGCCAATCAAGTTCATCCCATGGTACAAACTTTGTTCCCCGATGGTGATGGTGTCTTCCAAGACGACAAAGCCCCTGTTCACACAGCTCACATTGTCCAGGACTGGTTTTCTGAGCACGAGGATGAGTTGTCCCATCTCCCCTGGCCACCACAGTCAACAGACCTGAATATTATCGAACCTTTGTGGTCTACATTGGAACGGAAAGTGCGTTCTCGTTATCCACTGCCAACATCGTTATCTGAACTTGCCACCGTTTTGCAAGAAGAATGGTATAATATTCCCTTGGCAAACATACAGGAACTGTATTTATCCATTCCGAGAAGACTGCAAGCTGTTTCGGATGCCAACGGGTTTCCTACACCATATTAAGCAAAGAAACATGTTTTTTTAAAGGTGTTTCCATATTTTTGTCCAAACCCTGTATCTTCTTGTTCATCACTTACTGGTCCAAGAATTTCTAGGTAAAACTTTTGATGCAAATTTAAAAACTGAAGTTATACTTCTTGAGCATTCTTAACACGTTGACTGCCACGACACTTTTCGGATTCTGGTCCGAGAAGCCAAATCGATTTGATCATATTATATTATTAAAAATACTAATTATGATTTGTAATAATCATTAAAAAGTTTAAAGTGTTTTTTTTTTTTTTTTTTTTTTTTTTTTTTTAGAAAGAAGGGTGCTATGAATTATCTCGGCTTTTGTTAGACGAAGCTCTTTGCAGAAGCCCACTACAAGTTGATTCGTACAGACATGCTTTGGCTTGTCGTCTTGGTATGGCTAAAACAAGCATTTAGCTAGTAAGTACTGTATTTGACGGCATATAAGACGCACTTTTTTCCCTAAATTTGGTCTCAAAAAAGTAAGCTGCGTCTTATACGTGAAGGTAATTGCATTCAATAATTGTTTATTTGGCTTTTACGAAACGTGAGAACTAAAAGAAACCACACTATTGAAACTTTTTTTCCTTGTGTGTGGCCGTCTAAATAAGGGTGCATCTTATATGCTGTCAAATACAGTAACTTGTAGTGGTGCAAAAGTGGCATGTCAAGAAACTACGAAATAACTCATATTGGGTGTCCTGAAGAAGAGCGCTAATACAAGTTATCTCGTGTTGGGCAGGCAACATGTTAATATTAAAATTTTTGTTGCATAACTTCAACTTGTTAACTAGAAACTTAATTGTGACATTCTTTCAGGCAATCCAGATTTTTTTGGCTTCACTTATGACAAATTCAGAGTTTTTATTTAATATTAATTTTAATATGTTTTCCAATGAAAGTCTCCTACTTCAGTTACCTTCTGATAGGAGAGAAAACTTTTTATCAAATTATTCCTATCTTTTACAGCAGAAACTTGCAAATTTGATACAGTGTGGACCGAGTAGATAGCAGGTTACCAAAAATGATGAGTTTTACAGAATCTGAGGTGGATGTTTCATAATATATTACTATAAATTAATCTGTTAAATGTTTAAATTTCTTAAATGCATAAAGAATAAAAAAAAAGTTTAATCTGGAATAAAATAATTATCTTTTTATAGGCCAATGTAGGAACACTGAATTCAAAATTCATTTTAAAATGTTTCATTTACTTGAAAATATTTTATTTATAAATGAAAGGGGACTTGATTTTGTATATAAAAATCATGTTTCAGACATAAAAACAGAAAATGTGTAGAAATTCATTAAAGAATTAATGAATTGTATTTGGGTGTTAATTTTATATGGGTAAAGATATTATATAATTTATAGTGTATGTGTATGATTATTTAATAGAAAGTATTTCATAAATTTAACTACCAATAATTAACTGAAGAAGATTTTTCTCTATATAAAATAACAATGCGTGTCTAAGAAATCTGTTCATTAAAAAACAATGCAGACATTCCAAAATCCATATATTAAGACTAGGATTACTGTATTTTAGTGAAAAAAAAGCTAGGGCAATATGTGTTTATGAGGGGGAG